CACACACACACACACACACACACACACACACACACACACACACTCACTTACACTTCTTGATGAGTCGGTGAAAGTCTGACGAAACAGTCTGACACAGTCGTGCTTCTTTTGAGTGTATAGCAAATGTGACAACACACACACACACACACACACACACACACACACACACACACACGCACACACACTCTCTGTGAAGGTATCGACGAAATAGTATGGCTCAGTCATGCTTTTTTTGAGTGTATAGCGAATATGATAACACACACACACGCACTCTTCATCGTGGTCGTCGTCCTCCTCCTCCTATACACACACACACACATGTGCTTCTTCCTCCTCCTCCTCTTCCTCCTCCTCCTCCTTCTCCTCCTTGTGTTTACTTCGCCGTTTCGTTGTCCTCGTCCCCTCCCCTCCTCCCCGTCGGCTTCGTCCTCCCCTCCTCCCGTCGGCTTCGTCCTCCCCTCCTCCCGTCATCATCCTCCTCCCATCCTCCCCATCGTCTTCGTCCTCCTCCCCTCCTCCCCGTCGGCTTCATCCTCCCCTCCTCCCCCTCGGCTTCGTACTCCCCTCCTCCCCTCCTCCCCATCGGCTTCGTCCTCCTCCCCTCCTCCCCGTTTCGTCGTCCTCCTCCCCTCCTCCCCGTTTCGTCGTCCTCCTCCCCTCTTCACCGTCGGCTTCGTCCTCCCCTCCTCCCTGTCAGCTTTGTCCTCCCCTCCTCCCCATCGTCTTCGTCCTCCCCTCCTCCCCGTCGTCTTCGTCCTCCCCTCCTCCCCGACGTTTTCGTCCTCCCCTCCTCCCCGTCGTTTTCGTCCTCCTCCCCTCCTCCCCGTCTTCGTTGTCCTCCCCTCCTCCCCGTCGTTTTCGTCCTCCTCCCGTCCTCCCCTTCTTCGTCGTCCTCCCCTCCTCCCCGTCGTCTTCGTCCTTCCCGCCGACTTCGTCCTCCCCTCCTCCCCGTCGTCGTTCTCCTCCCCTCCTCCCCGTCGACTTCGTCCTCCCTTGTTCTTTCAACCAAGCCCCCTGTTCTTTCAACCCTCCCCGTCGACTTCGTCCTCCCTTGTTCTTTCAACCAAGCCCCCTGTTCTTTCAACCCTCCCCGTCGACTTCGTCCTCCCCTCCTCCCCGTCGTCGTCCTCCTCCCCTCCTCCCCGTCGTCGTCCT